GGAGCGGCCCAGCGGGCGCGGGCGTCCTGACTGTGATGCGTGTCCCCGCTGGATTGGGGATCTTTACGGGGCACCTCTTGGGGGGATGCCACACGTTTTCATGGGGTTACAAAGGACCCAAAGGGCCCGCGCGGAGACGCCCCAGCGTCTGGTAAGCCCTGGGGGTGGGGCGCTCTGCGATGGGTGTCCTTTCCGCTCTCTGCCCTTAACCTCAGACCCTCTCGGTGGGTGGAGCCCCCATGTCCGGCCGGCTTCCCAGAGAGGGTGCGCCTGGGAGCGCAGCGGGGCTCAGGTGGTCCCTGAGGGGGGGTGTCAGCCTGGGTGCCCTGGCCCCTCCCTCGGGGCGAGGGTAGGTGAGTCAGTGTTTGGGTGACCACACCCTGGGCTGGGGGGGGGGCGGTTCCCTCTCGCTCACACGGTCTGGGCAGTGGGCAGACAGACTCCGCGCCCTCCACCCAGTTTCATCAGGCCCGTGTTTGGGGACCTTGTGTGCTGGGTGTCACTCCTCGCTGCCCTGCCCCTGATGTGGGCCCGGATCCAGCCGGATGGGAGGGGCAGCCCCTCAGCAAGGCCGGGCAGTGCCAGGCTCCATGCAGACACGAGCAGAGACCTCTCAGGAGTCGGGGGTTGCGAGTGAGCAGAGTTCTCAGGAAGCCGGGTTTTGGGGAACCAGGACCTCACATGGAGCCGAGTCATCCTGTGGGCAGGGCGTTCTCACGGGCAGTTCAAATCGCATCCTTTTCTGGGCTTTCCATGCTGGAATGAGCCCGGATCCCTGCCCTGCCCCAGGCCCTGTCCAGCCCATCTCAGCCAGGCTGGCTGCCCCACCAGGCCTCAGGCCCCTTCAGGCTGCAGCTGGTCCCTGGGGAGGTTTTAGGCCCTGTGATCTGCTCCCACTGCCCGTGTCCTGGCTTCCCCGGGGGCTCACCCCGGGTGGCGGAGGGTGTACCCTGCCTACCCAGAGTCCCGGGCCTCAGAGGGGGTCACAGCACTGACAAGGTGTCAGGCCCGCACCCCACCTGCATGTCCCGCTGGGCACTGCTGTCTGGTGCCCGGCAGAGCTCCTGTGGGACTGCAGGCACCTGTCCCTCCCACCCAGCTGCCTCAGGCGTGGGGCCTAGGTCCTGGCCACTTGGGGTGGAGCCCCCATGTCCGGCCGGCTTCCCAGAGAGGGTGCGCCTGGGAGCGCAGCGGGGCTCAGGTGGTCCCTGAGGAGGGGGGTCAGCCTGGGTGCCCTGGCCCCTCCCTCGGGGCGAGGGTAGGTGAGTCAGTGTTTGGGTGACCACACCCTGGGCTCCCAGGGGGGGTGGTTCCCTCTTGCTCACATGGTCTGGGCAGTGGGCAGACAGACTCCTGGCTCCTCTGTGTAACAGCAGTTGGGTGACACGGCCAGCTTAGAGGGGAAAGCTGGCTGAGCAGGCAGGCAGGCAGGTAGGGTTTCCACAGCATTGCATGGATTGCCAGTCCTGTGCCCTCTACCCCTGTTCCCCCGCCGGGGTCCCCCTGCTGTGTCCAGGCCCACAGGCCACCCCTCCCACCCTGTCCTTGCCCTTGCCGGGCCACTGAGAGGCCAGGGCTTCAGGTGCCAAGCCCAGGCCCCACCCTCTCCCAGGCAGGAGGGGCCCAAAGGCAGGTGCAGAGGCCGGGAGGTTAATGCAGCCTCTGCTCCTGTAGCCATGTCCCCGGGCTCTGTGGCCGCCCGTGTCCCCGGGCTCTGTGGCCACTGGGGCCTTTGCCAGGGGAGCCAGTGGGTGCAGCCTCCCTCTGCCCTCCCCCATTTTCACTCCTGGCGACTGAGGGGGTATAGGTGCCGCAGAAAGGAAACAGCACAGGCCGGGGCAGCTCCTGCTGGCTCCTTGGCCCGCGATGAGAGAATTTGACTAAAGTGTCCCCTCTCCCTCTGCTTCCGCCCAGAGCACACTTGCCTCTCACCATGAGTCTCGACCTCCAGTACGAGCCGCTGAGCGATGCCCGGTGGACGGAGATCCTGCCTCTCATCCCGCAGTACCCGGTGGTCAGGTACTTGCCAGGCCCCTGGGGGTGGCCGCTGCGCCCCGAGGGCCTGGTGTGCCCGGAAGTCCTCTCCTTATTGGGTGCACAGTGTACACTGACTTCCACACGGGGTGAAATGTGCTTGTAATTTTCTCCAAACATTTAAAAATGTAAATCCCTGGCTCGAGCCAGTGGGCGGGACTTGGCAGGTGGGCAGAGCAGCTGGTGGGGTCTCTGCCTCCGCCCCTTGGCCCCTTTCTCTGTCCGTCCGGGACAGCCACTCGGTTGGCTACATGGAGGTGCTGCCCGCCCCGCCCGCCCTGCCCACTGTCAGGTTCTTGAGCCCAGCAGCCCCTTGGGCCTCACAAGCTGGCAGGTGCCTGCTGGGTGTCTCTCTAACTAGTTTATGTAGGTTTTGGTTCACAGGAGGGTGATGAAGATGGTTTTGGGGTGCCCATTGCCCTTTGCCCCACTTCCCCTGAAGTCAGCGCCTGGGGTCCTGGTCACATGTGGAGCCAGCACAGCCGCCTCGTCCCCGACGTCACGGCTTTCCCACTGGGCCCTTCCCTGTCCCGGTCAGTGCAGGATCCCGGGTGGCATATGGCCCTCCTGACTGGGATGGTCCCTCTGTCGCTCCTTGTCCGTCTGCCTGCTGGTCGGCTCAGGTCTGGAGAGGGTCCCTGTGGTGTGTTCTCATGGCTGAGTCACATGGTTTTGCAACAAGACACAGAAAGGATAAGGCGGAGTCCTGCTGGTATATGGTGTGGAGTGTGTGGTTGCGTTGACATCACGCGGTCACCCCGTCACTGCCCGCCTGTTCAGGTGGTGTCTGCCAGTTGTCCCCGGGGCACTGTTCCCCGTGGTCATCGACAAGCAGCTGGGCGACGTGCCTGGCACTGCTTGCGGCCTGCTTCTGCGCGTTTCCCCCCGACGTTGGTTTCTTCGCTCCTTGTACATTTGTCGGTGCCGCCCCCCAGCCTGTGCTTATCGATGTCCCGGTCCTGCTTATGGTCTGGTTTCATGGTCGTCTTGCTGCTCTGGTCTCTCCCTGGCTGTGCCCTCTGAGGGGCTTGCTTTCTGGGAGGTGAGAGCAGCTTGACATGCTGACCGTGCCCATGAGCGCGTGGCACCCAGACCACACCCGCGTGCGTGCCAGTGTCTCCAACCCAGGTGTCCCAGGACGATCCACTCGCTTTTTCTTTCATTTAAAATGTCGAGGTGTAGAGAAACCAAGATGGCGGCATAGGTAAACACCGGAAATTGCTGCCTCCCACAACAACTTCAAAAATACAATTAAAAGATGGAACGGACATCACCCAGAACCACAGGAAGGCTGGCTGAGTGGAAATTCTACAACTAGGAGGAAAAAGAATAGCATACCAAACTCAGAGGAGGCGCAGGGCTGAAGTCAAATACT